TTCTTATTACTTTAACATTTTCTGATGAAAACAATTCTATGGTTTTAAACATGCTTGGTCGAACTCTGTAGTATCTATTTATATATTTATCTCTAATTGTGTCATACATGTTACACTCAAAAAGGAAATGAAATTCGTCTTCTAATTTATTACACGATATGCAAAGTCTATTTTCTCTTACAGTTCTATTCCATCGGCCACATTCTATATTTAATCGATGTGAGGATACTCTCAATCTACATAATGCATTTCTATATTTTTTAACATTAAGTATTTTAAGGTATGGTTGAAAACCAAAACTACATATAGATTTATAAAAAGTAGCTCTTGTTGAGATATCAATCCTACTTTGCCATCCTTGTACAAAAACATCCTTTATTCTTTGCTTAAAAATTTGTACAAATATGTTAAAATCTCCTACTCCCTGCGCAAGCCAAACATGATAAAAACCGAGTCTGGATAAAATATTCTTAACACATGAAGCCCAATTTGATTTTTGAGGTTGATTTTCAATGTCATTTAACATCATTTTATATATATAATTTATATATTTATTTTCAGGGCTGCTTGTTACTTTCAACCAATATTTTATAATGTACACAATTCTAAGACTATATAGATCAGTTCTTCCAAGATCGCCGTATATAAAATCATTTTGTGTGCTTACTTTTACACCTAATGTTCGTTTGCAAAACATTGTATGCACCCTTTCAATTTGGTTTGCTTGTAAAAAACCCCACACCTCAGCACCATAAAATAGGACTGGCTTAATTAGTTTATCAAACAGGTCTAAGACATGATCTGAAGACAAATTAACAAACCTAGACATATAACTTTTTAACTTAAAAAATTGCCTTTAATGCTTGCCCTGATAACGTGTTACAGGCTTCCTTAAAGGAGCCACCTGACGTAAAAACAATTCCTAGGTACGTATATTTATTGACGATTTCTAAAATATTTCCATCATAATAAAAAGCCAAGTTATTTGGTAAACGCCCCCCTTTTCGAAATATTATCACTTTTGTTTTATCTTTATTTAAGCTTAATTTCCATCTGGAACAATATTCATGTAAATATTAAGACTAGTCTGTAGTTCTTCAGCAGAGTTTGCTAAAAAGAACAATATCATCAGCATACATCAATAAAAATAGTTTCAATGATCCTATATCTACACCCTCTGCACCCTTAATGACCAATTCTTCTTCTAAATCGTTTAAATACATGGCAAACAGAAAAGGACTCAAAGATTCACCTTGTCTTACTCCCAGATAACTATCAAAAATAGAACCTGTCTCACCATATAATTTTACTCTTGAACGTACGTGTGCATACATTGATTGAATAATATTAAATAACTTACCCCTTACACCCAATTTGAATAATTTATACCATATATCGGTCTTACTAAGTAGTCAAACGCTTTCGAAAAATCAACAAAGACACAAAATAATTTCTTATTTTGATTAAGAACATGATTAATAAGACTGTTAAGAACAAAAAATATTATCAACAGTCCCCATTTTCGCTCTAAAACCTGCTTGAGCTTCAACATATATATAGTAATTTTCAGCCCATAAAGTAAGTCGTTTGTTAATAATACTTGTAAATAATTTTCCAACGACACTTAAAAGAGTAATTCCTCTAAAATTTGAGGCATTATCTAGACTACCCTTTTTTATGTATAGGGATGATATATCCTTCACTCCATGAGGTTGGAAAATAACCTTTTTCAAGAATTTTATTAAATAATTTCAAAATATGTAAAGCTAAGATATCCTTTCCATAGACTAAGAATTCGTTTATAATACCGTCTGGGCCTGCACTACGACCTAAGTTCAGGTCCACAATACCCTGTAATATTTCTTCCATAGTAAAGGGTAGGTCAAGTTCATTAAACATAATTTTTACCTCGTTATCTAAAATACGATTTGTAAAATCTAAAACATCTTCGTCTGCTTGAAAAAATCTATTTTCAGGATTATTAATTGCTTTAAAGTATTCAGTAAAAGTGTCGAGTGAAATTCCTTTCGGACCTTTCTTATAACTGCTTTCTTTCAACATTTTCCAGTATAACTTGGCATTGCTATAACGTGCTGACATTAACTTCTGTGTTCTAATCTTATCTTTTTCATATTGAAAAACTCGGACGCTCTTTTTGTATATACTTCTTGCTTGTACCATATTTATTCTGTTTAATTCTGACTTATTTCTTCTATAAACATTAAGTTTCTTATAAAAATCTACTCTATTGTTTACACATATGTTACTATATAATGCAGCGTCCTGATTTTGATGATCATACTTATTAAATCTACCATCAACTTTACTATATTTACCAAATAAAGGTTTACATACATCTTCAATACATTGAACAAAATTATCTATACATGCATCAATTTCAACATGTGTGTTAGCACTATCAATTTTACTATCTAACTCAGAAAGATGCATCATAAATACATCACTTTGAATAGAGTTTAAAAAGACATCTTTTTTGTCAGAATCCCATTTATAGAAAAATGACTTACTATCATTAATATTACATTTAAATTCGGTTCTTCCATTTTCTTCACATTTATCATACGAATAAAAAGATTTTAAGGAAAATTCTATTATACAATGATCTGACAGTATATTTGGCTCATGCGTTTTAAAACTATCAAATAATGTTAACAAATGTTCACTCACAATACAAAAATCAACAACACTACAACCTGTTGATGATATATAAGTAAAGGCACCCTCGTCATCACACACCCGTCCGTTTGCAATACGTAACCCAGTCTGTTTCAAAAAGTCAATCAATAATAGACCATTACTGTTCGTATTTTTATCTAAAGTTTTTCTGGGAAGTTTAATATCTATTTCATAGTCATCAGGTAATAAATTATTTTCTAATAAAGAATAATTGTCATCTACCACCCATTCTTCCAAGCACCCCACACGCGAGTTTAAGTCTCCTAATATCATAAAACTGCACGCGTTCTCTCCATATTTACTTCGTAAAAATACAATGTCATCAATTAAATTATCATATACATTATTTTCAACAAAACGATTCCTGCTAGATGTAGATGGGATAATATAACACAATGCAATAAATAAATGACCATCAATATTAAATAATTCCCCATTTATTTTTACCCACAAATGTGTATCGTCTCTCTCACAAACAAATGTATCATCACAACAAAGTTCACGACGTAAATAAATAACTAGACCACCGGAAGACCTCGTGGAACCTAAAACTTTCTCTTTTCTATTTAAAGCAAAATGTTGAAAATTGTCTACTTCAAAATTTGTGTTATTATCTCCCCAAGTTTCAGTCAAACAAACTATATCGTTATTATTGAATAAATCAGTTATTTCAGAACACTTCAGTTTATCAATAGATTTAGTTTTCAAGCACTGTATATTAAATAATGCAAATCGTAAATTGTTTACACTTTTGTACTGTAAAAATCCTAATCCCCGCCCACAGTGTGATCATTTGACGCTGATGTATGTTGCGTAGTTGTGGGAGGAGTCATCGTCTGCCTAACTGATTGCTGATTTGCCGGCGCTTTTCTAGTTGCTGCCGATTCCCTCTGCGCACGCGCACTAGTTGAACGACCTCTACTTTTTGTTGACATCCGAATTTTGCACGTGATCTTGGCCTACACACACGTGGAGTAATATTGTCAATGTTTACAACTGGTGTGTGGTGGGCTGAACAAATGTTTGAGACTGCGATTTTAATAATGATTGCGATTGCGAGTTATTTGTGTTATTTGTATAACTGCTCTGTGACGACACTGAAGCTGTACTAACCTGTTTGTTTACCCCGTTTGTTTGTTGCATGTTATTGGTCACGGTGTCGGTTATGGTTTAAAAGATATTTTCGTTGGAATTGTCTAATGGAGGATCTTGCTGTGCCCGTGAAACACCGTCCGGAATACCGTGTGGAGCTGTATATGCCGCCTGATGCCCGGAATAATTACTATTATCCGAGGTAGAAAAAACCTTCGGAGGTTTCTGGCCAATGTCTCTCGATGGATTTTAGTAGTAATTCCCAACCCGGAAATGCATCTTCTACAAGACGATGGTTTCACATAAAGCGCTGCTGGATATTTTAAACTGAACCTTATTACCTTTACGCGATCGGTACTCCTTGTATGCGGGCCACAATGCCTTTCTGGGGTTCGAATCTCATATGGATAGTCTCTGTCAATGCCATACCTAGTTCCAGCAAGATTTCGTGCATTAGCCATTATCGAATTTACTTCAATGAGAGTAACGAAAAGTTACCAATATTGTCCTCTTAAATGACTCCTGCCCCCCGGCGATTGTTTTTCACCTGACCTAAACGTTCTGCATTGTCGATATAATAATATCGCTCGGATTAAGATTAAGTTGATCATAAATAAAATCGTTGACACTGTCATAAACATCCATTTTGTGTTCTTCATATCCGTATATAAGTAAATTCCTGTTTTTATTTCTAGTTTCTAGATCAAGTATTTTATAAGTCAGTGTTTTAATTTGTTTGTCATATTGATTTACAGTTATCATTCACATCGGAGACTACATTACTAACCTTATTCATCTGAGTCTGAAGAACGTTCACCTGTGTTCGCACACTATCAAAACTTTCAAACTTTTCAAAAAGAACATTCAGTTTATCATCCGTGCCCATTCCTTTATACGTATCAAACTCAAAACATTAGATCCCTGTCTTTTTTCTCTTTGTTGTATTTTCAAAAACTACCGCCTTCCGTCGTGCGCCATTGTGTATTTCCCGCCGACCCAAACATGCATTCGTTTTCCATTTCGCGAGAATCATTCAATAATTGACTCAATGATTGACTTCCTATATCCATTGTTTGATAAGTGATGATATATTATCCAATATATATAATCCAATATTAATAAAACACCCAGAACATATAGTAAATCCTAAAAATGTCACCGTGATCTAAAACCAGTGTTGACCATCCGCCATATTTAATAATGTATAATAACATATAAACACATACAATCCAAGTCTCGACATATTCAACATATTTAATTAAATACATCATGAATATGACAAAAAGTTTTAAGAAATACATATTTTTTTACACAGCAACACTCTCATTTCTCTTCTTTAAAGCCAGATAAACAATTTTTGCGATTTTTTTTTATCTTTTGGGTGTTGACATAAGCTTATTGAATTTATTCATATTAGGCCATGTGTAATAATAATTATCTAAAAGTGTTGAAAGTAATTCTATATTAAAAGGACACATTAACAAAAAATGATACTCTGATTCAACTTGATTCATATTACATCTTCTACATAATCTATCGCATATTATTCCTATATAGATCTTCTTGTGTGATCTCGCTGGTGTTTTCATATGTGCCTCGACATAAACACTATTTAAATAACTAGCTTAAATAAAGTTTAACTTATAAATTCTCTATTGTAATCTAATTTAGAAAACGAGTCTAATTTAGATAACCATTGTTGAAAATAATGATCATGGATTCTTTGAATAATTAATCTAACATTCGTTTCAGATATTCTATCACAATTCCACAGGAAAGAAAAACCAAGGTCATCTAATTGCCTTTTTACATTACATGACCAACTTTTTAACAATGTATTATTTCGTCCCTGCAACATCATTAATGTTAACATAGTTGAGTCAGGCATATTTTTAATTTTATATCAAAACTTAAATATTCTAATTTTACGTACTGTATACAAAGGAAATTAAACAAATTCTCCATAAACTGCAGTACTGCATGTTTATTGTTAAACGTCAAGTATTTGTTTTAGAAACTTTTAAGTGTACTCGTTCTATGTCCGGAGATTTATGAAAACCCCATATTTCAGATCCGTAATATAAAATCGGTAATACCATACATTGAATTAAAGAGTTTTAATTATTTACCAAAATCTAGTATGTGTATTTATACTATATAAGTTGGCACATAAGCACTTTGCCCTTATTACCGACGACCGACCGGTCGACCGACTGATAAGTTTGTGCATATACGCATGGAAATCAAAATAATTTTTCTATCATTTTAGATACTTCAGTACGATTTTTATCAAAACACAATTTTGCTGCCCAATATAAATGTATATAGACAGCCAAATACACATACTAATAGACAGCCCAATATAGATTCATATAGATGGTTGCAAATGTATACAGATGCGAATAGACAGTCTAATGTACTCGTAGATGCCTATATACAGCCCAAAATAAATGCGTAAAGACAACCCAGTATAGATGCGTACAGAACGTCCGATATATAGCTTAAAATAGACATTTAAACGACAGCCCAATACAGCCTCATACTGTAAATATTCACCTTCAAGGTAAATCAATAAATATTCGATATTATGTACGAAGTAAAATACATATAGTTCTATGTCACAATCAAGAAAAGTGTCTTTATAAAAGAATTATGCGTCATCCGTCCGCCCATCCTGCTTTCTCTTGGATACAAATACAAAAGATGTAATGATTCTTGAAAGTGTACTTTTTAAACAGTTCATCAAGCTCCCTTTGGTTTTTCTTAGTCGACAGAATCACAACTGTTCTTTAATTTTACAGATGCTGCCACAAAGACTACTACAAGACGCATCATTCCATCTGTAATTCCATTCTATAATCATATTCATGCACACTGTACCGCCGGCGGCGTGGTAAGGCTGACCCTGGTACCAGTTCGTGTAGCTGCTTTCTACAGGTGTCTGATCCAACCATAAGAAATGATTTTGAGTGCCATATCTAATACCGCCAATCCAAACATTCACGTTCACTGAATTTTGAGAATGCAAGAATACTATAATTTTTGATGTTGTTATCAATAATCAATTAATATATATCGTCTGAGAAAACAGTATGTTTATTTTTTTCCATAACTAAATGTTTTTCTGGTAAAAAAAACACATTTGCTCGAAACTTGCATGGTTAATTCCATCAATGAAAAAAAATAAAATAAACACCTGAAAATAAGTTAAGCACACCCGGTATTTTGCCTCAGTTTTGACATGACCACAAATGAAATTTTAAATTTTATTTGGGCAATAGTACGAACCACCTGTAGTCAACCAAGTTATGCACCAAGAATGGCAAAATTTATCTCAAAATCGCATAAGATGCCTTACTGGTTGTAAGAGGAGAATGATTGAGGCTTTCATCTGGGCACGTGGCGGTTACACACGTTATTTAAAATTGGGCTACATAATGTTATTTTAGGTTACGTAATTGTCACGGTTCAGAACTGTTCACTAATTAATGGAGAAAATGTGTAAGCGGCCGGATAGCTCAGTCGGTAGAGTCGCGGAATGGTGTTCGAGTCCCGATCAGGCTGCACATTTTTCTCACCCTTTGACATAATCGTCAACATTTACCAAAAATATCCATCAGTAAAAATATTGTTAACGCTCCAAAACCATGCATACATTTTTGGTAAAAAAACCAACACATTTGCTTATGCTTCAATATTTTGGTAAAGAATAAACTAAACTCATATGATTACTAAATTGGTAATGCTACTTTTCAAATTACTATGCCTTAACTCAATTAAGTTGTCATCTCATGACAGTGCTTTCACAACCAATTTTAAATTTCCGGGGTGTACTTAACTGAACATATCTTTTTTTCTACCACAGGGTACATGGCAATACAACATTGGCATATACTATAAATAGATACAATATGATAAATTAACAAACTTGACTGCTTAACTGGTGTGCTTAACTTATTTCCATGTCTATATACATGTATCTAAGTCAATCATAATAACAATTGAATTAGAACTGAGATAAATAACATCATCTGGATATTGCATGTTTGCCCTGAAGCTATAAATATACATTATTAAGATTAAAAAGTCAATCATAACAACAATTGAATTACAATAGTCAACATTTCGTCTTGCGCTTTCATCATGACAAATGACATAAACAAGGGACTTAGAAGCCCACAATTAGCTAGTGCATATCATAATTGTGGGAGAAATAAACAGGAAGATATTTAAGATTTCAAGGACGCTTTACCGACCGTGCAACCTAACGGTAAGGTACGTAACTTGAGTTAATAAAAGATATGTTTTGTTCTGTTCTGGTAATACAATTGAAAGGACAACGGCAGTTGTATCGTAAACATGTAACACGACTGTCCGTGAACTTAAACTGCAAGTACTTTTCCAGTGTTTATATTTACCTAAAATTTGTTTTAAAAAAAAATCAAAATTATGCTTTTATATTCTATAAGTCTAGACTTCCAACTTCATTTCATCACCCCTCCCATTCCCCCGTCTCCTGTCCAAATTATTTAGCGAAGGGTAATGAAACAATGATTTATTAATATTAGAAACATGTTTTTGTGATTCATCAGCCAATTACTTCATATTGTCAAAACTTATGCCGGTCTTTATCAATCAAAATAATCTTGTGAAATAAATCTTTGACAACGCAAGCAGCTCAATAGCCTGTAACTGTAGATTTAGATTTTACTCAAGTAATAAAAACTTAGCAGAAGCTCGCGCTTTAAATAATATCACTGACTCGTGTGTACAACTGCCGTCCTCATTTACAATGATTGTCTCCCTTTCTGATTGTACAGTGTATTTACCGTTAGAGGCAAGTTCCGTAGCTATGTCTTGCTCTTCTTGTGAAAGAATGTCTGCAAGATAACCACCATGTTCTTCACAGTATTCCTGCAATTCATGATATAAATAGTGTCATGTTGCATTATATGAAAGGTTACTGTATTTACTCAACCTAAACATTGTAGTATATCTTTCTATATACTTTCTTATTCTTTTGAGCATTGAAGCCAAAATGGCTGATAGGCTCGTTCTTGAGCTTCTGACTTATACACTTAGTACTTGAAATGATGTCAAGCCTAATAGGAAAAGGGTTTTTCTTAAGTATCTTTTTTAAGCTGAATATCTGATAAACATGAGCCCGCTTAGTGCGGTATGTGAGAAATGATACCTGAGCACAGTTAGAATGTTTCCAAATTAAACAACATAATCTGAGCAACTACTTGTAGGTCTACTTTTTGCAATCCGATATGCTATAAATAGTGTCATATTGCATTATACGAAAGGTTATAGTGTCATATTGCATTATACGAAAGGTTATAGTGTCATATTGCATTATACGAAAGGTTACTTCATGATATAAATAGTGTCATATTGCATTATACGAAAAGTTACTTCATGATATAAATAGTGTCATATTGCATTATACGAAAGGTTACTTAATTCATGATATAAATAGTGTCATATTGCATTATACGAAAGGTAACTTCATGATATAAATAGTGTCATATTGCATTATACGAAAGGTTACTTCTTGATATAAATAGTGTCATATTGCATTATACGAAAGGTCACTTCATGATATAAATAGTGTCATATTTCTTTATATGAAAGGTTACTTTATTTACTCAACCTATACATTGTAGTATATCTCTACATATACTTTCTTATTCTTTTGAGCATTGAAGTCAAAATGGCTGATAGGCTCATTCTTGAGCTTCTGACTTATACACTTAAATTAGTACTTGAAATGATGTCAAGCCTATTAGGCAAAGGGTTTTTCTTAAGTATCTTTTTTACGCTTAATAACTGATAAACCTGAGCCCGCTTAGTGCGGTATGTGAGAAATGAAATCTGAGCACTGTTAGAATGTTTCCAAATTAAACAACATAATCTGAGCAACTACATGTAGGTCTACTTATTGCAATCCAATATGCTACACTCCATGTTGAGTGCAAATTATACTTTGTTTGTGATGAAATAGTTTTATATAAAAGAAATAGTCAGACGGGGACTTGCACAGAACAGTGAAAACTAAATGAAGAAGCTAATACCCGTGAAGTTTTGTACATCCAGTTCAGTTCACGTTGTTGATAAACCGGCACATATTAGTTCTGGTCATTTGTGACCTTGGTTACATGATTCATTTATCTTTCGAAGCGATTTGCTAGGCAATGCTACTTTTTAAATATCTTAACTCTTGGCAATAAAATTTCCACAAGAAGATTTGATTTGTTTTCCATGTATTAAAGTCTCTAATACAGGAATTTAAAAAGCCATTATGAAATTTTATACATCATATCATCATTAAATCATCATTATATGATATAGAAACATACCTTTGCTTGATACCAGGTCATTGATTCCGTCACTAATTTGAAGTAAGTATGATTTAACCTCAAGACATTCCCTGTGTAAAGTATCTCTAGAACAAATAGATGACTTGTTAATGAAAGGGTAGCTAGATTATGGTACACTATAAGAATTAAAAACAGTCATTTATTATTAGTATTGGCGCATGTGGCCACACGATTTCTAATATATCAGACAGGACTTTCTACTGTTTACAATTTTCCCATTGTTTAACAGGGCACGTGTGTTAAGGACTTTGTTGTCGTTCCCGCACACGACTATTGTTTTAATTGTTCCGTCTGCATTAAAAGCTGTTGTAAGATTTTATAGTCATCCTAATATTTAAAATAAAGTATGACGCTTGTACCTAGAAAAAAATTCATAATGTACAAAACTACAACGGTCATTAATTCAGAACGACACAACAAAACCTTTTTCACAATGTTGTAACTTCACAAATATTTAAGCAAATATGTATATGTGTGTTTAAAATTATATGTCTTACTAGGTAGACATTTGAATGTTGTCCTGCTCCACGTTCCATTTGTATTGCATGTTGTACGGGAAACATCAGTTGTGTTCATAGCAAAGCCGTCGTCACATGTGTATAGTATTTTACTTCCCACTGTATACATATTGCCAAGGAAACGGGCGTTTTTCTTTTCTTCCGGAATAGGACAAACTTCATACAAACATAAATAAATATATGAAATTTTTTAAAAAAAAATCATTTATTTATTTTTGAATAACTTGTTGGTCTTAGTTTATTTTAAGGGTCTTTTTTATCGAATAATCAATCTTCAAAAAAACTATTAATTTAACTAAATTTATGAACGTCCAAGGTATAAGAGAAAATCAAAATGTCCACCGTCAAAATTAATTTACTGGTTTTGTTCATGTATATATGTATCCCTCAAAAAGTGTTGAAACGAATACATCAGTGCCGAGAAATATGAAGAAAACGTCGACCAGTGAAATATCAATATATTATATAAATTAAATTTGCTCACATAACAGTAATGTAGTGATATTTTCTTATAGAATGTTTGGTTTATTTCTGGTTTAGTTTTTGTTTAATTTTCGCTTTATTTTTATTTTAATTTGTTGAATGAAGAAAAAAATGAAGAAGAAAAATGAAGAAACATAATTATGTAGTCAAATGACTTCAAATGCCGTGTAGAAAGTTGCCATGTACTTAACTTCAGTGGTGTTATATTTTTCTGATCCTTCGGATCCACTGATTTCAGCACTTTTAAGTGTTGTAAAATGAATACCGCTCAGACCGGGGCTAGGGGCGTGAGGGCTGTTGCACTTATTCATTATCCCTCATGTACAAACTCAATCAAACCAACATTTGTTGTGATAAATGCTTCCTAGGGACTTTAGTATTCCATCTTTCTTTCTCACATGTTCAGCCAGTTTGTCTGCAAATCATGTCTACATTCATGCATATGACACTGGAATACTAGCGTCAAGGTTTCTAAGTGAATAGTATCTGAATTATTCAAACTTTAAATCATTATACTTACCAACCTCATTGCAATCTTCACATAAAACATCATCGCCCTGAAAAAAATACATCACCCTGCATTATTACAAATTGCGTGTGTGCGTGCGCGCGCGCGTGTGTGTACGAACGTGTATGTGCGTGCGTGCGTACGAACGTGTGTGTGTGTGCATGCGTGTTGTTATTTATAATCTTTGTTTCGTAAAAAGTGATAACTGTAGAAAAATAAATTTAATTCAATTCTATTTTAAAGCCATTTTTGAAGGATAAATGACCCTAGTTAAAACATTAATTATGTTTGCCAAATTCTTTTTTGCAACGATTATGACATACTGCATGCGCTTGACAAAATAGAGATTCATATGTCTCAAATAGATATTTCTTTTTTTTATGTTGTAAAGTAAGTCTCTTTTGATTTGTCTTTATTTATTTATTTATTTATTTATTTATTTTATTTTGTATTTCTGAAATAAAAATAAGTAGAGAATTTCAGAATGATTAATATCCTACTAATTATTATCGGAATTATTCCAAATAATATCGTTGAAATTACTAATTTTGAGTATAGTTTGCATTTCATAAGGGGTTAAGTTTCGAAAAAAAATATGTTTTTGCAATGGAACAATAGAAATTTTTTATTGACTTTTGCCATGGCCACTTTTTAAAAAAAAAAATACAAAGAAAACAAATATCAAACTGTATCTCAAGACACACTAAGGGCGTGATAACAGATAAAAATGATAATAATAATAATAATAACGTTATTTTGATGTGACATATGAAAAGTAGATAAGTAGAATACTACTTATTTCCGATATGACCTTCTATAATAATAAATAAACAGAAACAACAATAAACAGCAATTAATTTAATTTACGGCAAACACGCTTACAAAAATACATAGCATTTTGTATAACTTATAAAGATTAATACTTAATTTCCTGTGCATATGCAATCATCAATCAATAGTAAAAACTAAAAGATGTGTTTTAAAGATCTGTATTAATTTCCGTTAAAGCCAGTTTAGGGTTTTAGTGCTTTAAGCTGTATTTTTATTAAAATAATCCTTTATTTTTCGTTTAATTGTTGACAATTTATTCTGTAATCTTATGTCAGCTGGAAATGTATTCCATAAATGTGTCGCTTTGTATGTAAATGTTTGTTTCATATAATTTTCCCGTGGCCTGAAGTGAGAAAGATTTTTCTGCGCTGAAGAGCGTAGATTAAATCTATCATTGCGAGAAAAAACTAGCAGTTCAGATTTATATTTTGGTGCCAGATTATGTTCACTTTTAAAAACAAATAAGGCCATGTGATAGTTACATCTGTTCTTTAAAAATAAGATGATTTAAGATTTTGAATACACTTTTATGTTACATGCTGTTTCATTATTACTCGAAGTGCCCTCTTTTGTATGTTCTATATTTTTTTCGGTATCCGATTTGCAGGTTTGTCTCTAATACAGAATTGCAATGATCCGTTGTTGACACAATATATGCATTATAGTATAACATTTTCATTTCATCTGTCAAAAAATAAGAAATTCGTTTTAAAAATGCAATAGCATTCATTGCAAACAATAAAACTTAACTTGCAAATTCTTTAAATAATTATTATTAAAATTTTGTAATAAACGAAGTCATTGTGATACTACTTAAGAAATACATGCAGTACCTTTCACTAAGAGCCCATACCAATCAATCAGCCTGCAAACATTTAACGGACCGAGTTTGTCAATTTTCGGGGCTGTCTGGGAGACAAATCAAATGACTGTTTCAAAAAAAATATGTATTTGACTGGTACACTTAGTAATATGTCCTATTTTTTGATCAAAACTTTATGGAAATGATAAAATCAATCAATTATTCAAAGAGACCATATTCCAATGAAATAATTCTATAAGTAGGAGAAAGATTTTGTTGTTGTTGTTGTTGTTGTTGTTTTCTATCATATTTCATCAACCTCATTTCCTATTAATATGTTTAACTTTGCTAAATGAATCTGCCACATCAAGGTAGAACAAAATGGTATTTGAAATATTTTATTCTTATCGCTTAGGATTTTCGTAATGTAATATAGAGATGAAATGCACAACTCGTTTTGCATACTTACTCGAGGGAACGACTTACAATGCAGTATGTCGAGATAATTCTATTTTTGTTTTGTTAGCCTACTTGAAAAGAGAAGTACAAATCTGATCAAAAGGGAATTGCAGGTATAAAAAAAGAGTAGCTAAATAAAAAGAAATAATCGTGTTATAATAAAGAATAATGTATGATAGTTATGTCGTGGGAACGACAAAGTTAGCCGATAAAACGACTTAATATCTAGTGTTAATACAGATATCAATTTGGGAAAGTATGTTTCAATTTTTTGTTCCTTTACAAGAAGTTCATAATAATGTGTTTGTACAATGGAAGCTGGAAGTCCATAATAACTGTTTTGATAGAAGTAGACGCACTGTGTGTCGGACACTTGTATGGAAAATAAATATTTTCAGAATAGAGTTTTTAAGTTGAAATTACCTTGTTCCAGTCAATCATATTTGCGAATATATAACCTGCTTCCTCTTCTACCTGTCCTTCAAAGGCTTTTATTGTTAATTCATTGTTGACTAACCCAATTAGAGAACACATATTCATTCGTAGACGGTAATTTATATATTTACATTTCGTCTTAGTCTTGCATATTTCGACACATTGATTTATCCCAACTACAAAGACTGTTTCAAATATGTACAAATCCTTATAACCATCTTCGTATGTTCTTATACGTCTGCCATGATGGTAATTCCCTGCTGATGTACTTTGAAAGAAACAAAAAATCAACCCATATAAAATACAATATGTCATCGTATTTTATAGAATCAAACTCGAAAAAAATGAAGCATAAAAAAGACGAATTAAACCGGTCTTGAATATTCTTCTAAACGCACTAAAAATGATTTAAATGTTTGTGATAAAATTGAAGTCACTAACAGATTGTTAACTTTACCACTGTAAGCGTCATATAATTCAGAGGCTTTGTAGAATGCTCTTTGCTAACGACAACTTAATGGAAATTTAAAATTCATATGACAAGTACAATTAGCGACGTTGTTTATGATAAAAGGGTAACCATTTGCTATGTTTTATCAAGCTTATATCTTATTTATAACGAGTTCATTTATTATAGCTAGCAGCATGAATTTTTCATAGAAAAGGGAGGTCTCTTTGAATGTGTTTGCCACAAATATACTTACAATGTACATGTAGCAATCAGGTAAAAAAGATAAAAATAAAACAGATTTAAATGGATTTCCTATGATCGGTATTGGCAAGTCACCTGACGGACTGTCACTGAGACATTCTTTAGCTGTTTTTTGAAAGTACGTACACATATAACGTATCCTATTCACACCGTACAATCAAATGGGCAGACAGCTGTTCCAGCGTCCAGAGCTGTACCAGTATATACATGTCGGCGCGGGGAATACAATTGACGTACGGTAAGTATTCATCTATTTTTAACATATCCCAACTGTGTTCGAGAAAATCAATATTATGGATTCAAAGTCAACA